CCGAGACTAATTCGTTACAGGAGTACAAAGCTCTGTCTTCCTCCTGTAGAGTGGCTGAAGGTTTTTAAATATTTACTTTGCCATTCACAGCCCAACTTGTATGCACTACACCACCAGGGCCCCTGGTATAAGCACCAAACTCACACTCAGGGTCATTGAGTCATTTCAAACTCAGAGTGACCCTATAGGACAGGGTAGAACTACCCTTGTGAGTTTCTGAGACTGTTTATGGGAGTAGAAATCCTCATCTTTCTCCCTTGGTGCAGTTGGTGATTTTCAACTGTGAATTCTTGCAGATCACAGACCAACGTGCATCCACTGTGCCATCCATCACTTCAAAAAGGAGGCCTGTATTCTTTGGCTATCAGTCTCCAAATCCTCCAGCCAACTCCCTACCATGCCTTAGGTAACTGTGGGGTTGTATTTTTTTCATACCTCAACTAGATTGATTTAAGATTCTACACCTTACACTGCTGCTGCTTCATTAACATAGTAAACCCATTTCCACATAGGATTATAACCATAGGTTCAGGATTTACAATACACATTTATGGGAGACATACATGATCCCTAACATATTCTCAGTATGAAAATGAAAGAGAGAAAATGGGGAGCCATGGTTTATTGGTTTTATTTTTAGATTAAATAGATGAACACTTTTCCTTCCTCAAACTTTTTAATCCCAAGAACGTCATTTTTCTCTTTGGAATCCCTTGTATCTTCTTCTTTCTTTGGTTTCAGATGTTGTTGTTGTTGTTGTTAGGGGCCATCCAGTCGTCGTCAACCCATAGCAACTTTATGTGCAACAGAACGAACACTCCATGTACCTGCACCATCCTCACAATTAGTTGTTCTCATGTTTGAGCCTTTGTCACAGTGTCAATCCATCTCCTTGAGGTCCAGCCTCGTTTTTACGGCCCCTCTACTTGACCAACCATGATGTCCTTTTCCAGGGACTGGTCTGTCCTGGCTTTAGATAGGACTCCTTTATATCCTGAGATTGCACTGATGATAACGTACACATATGGTCATAATATTGTGTGTGTAGAGCTTGCCATTTTCAAAGCACATTTATGAGCTTAGCTTGTTGATCCTAAAACAAGTGTGAGACATTGGAAGGGCATGATCCCCTCCTTAAGGAGGAGGCCCTGGAAGCAACAAGTGGAAAGAGCAAGCACAGCCACCTTTGCCAAGCAGTGACTACGAGTCAGGTCTTTTATTTGCACTATCTCGCTTCGTCTTCTAAAACCCTCTGTTGTAGGTCTCCAGTTTATAGGGGAGGAAAAGCAGACGCAGAAGGAGCGCTGAAGTGGCTAAGTCTCTCTTGCTACTGAGTGGTAGATCTGGGATGTAAATCTAGGCCTATTTTACTTCAAAGCTACTAAATTCAATCGCTGAAGTATTGTAACCTTTCTCAATCCATTTGCCATTGACATGACATTAAAATCAAAGACTCCAGATTCAGGGTGTGGGGTCCCTTTCATTAAATCATCTGTTCCTCCTTATGTGAGGTGGGGACCAAGAACCACCTATGACTATATGGCACCGTGAACCCAGCACTGCTTTGGAGCTGTATCCTGCTCTGTTCACTCACTGCCATTGAGTGAATTCTGACTGAACAGCAACCGCACCAAACAGAGTAGAATTATCATCCAAGACCGTAAATCTTCACAGAAGTAAAAAGCCTCATCTGTCTTCCTAGGAGTGGCTGGTGGTTCCAATCTGCTGCCCTTTGGGTTAGCATCCTAACTGATAACCTACAATGCAACGAAGGCCCACTGTTGTTGTCAGGTACAGCGCAATCAGCTCCACCAGGTCTAGTCTTCTGTTGGTAGCTGCCCTATCTGCACTGGCATTTTTAGAGTTTCCCAGCATCTTGCTGTTCGGTGCTGTCAGGTCAGTTCTCACGCACAGCAACACGACGTAGAACAGAATCAAACACTGCCGGGTCCTCACTAGTCTCACGATCGCCGTTATGTTTCAGCCCATGGCTATAGCTCCTGTGTCAATCCGTCTTGCTGAAGGTCTTCCTCTTTTTTTATTGATCCTCTGCTTTAACAAGTATGATGTCCTTCTCCAAGGACTGCTTCCTTCTAATAAACCGTCAAAATGTTTGTAAGACAAAGTCTCGCTATCCTCCTGTGTAAGGAATAGTCAAGCTGTACTTCTTTCCACATTGATTTGCAGGTTCTGCTGGCCGTCAACAAGAATTTGGATGTTCTTCCCCAACACTATAATTCAAATGCATCGATTCTTCCCATCGGTCTTCCTTACTCAATGTCCAGCTTTCACATACATATCGAGGCAATTGAAATCTCACAGCTTGGGTCAGATGCACTTTCGTCCTCAAGGTGATAGCTTTGCTTTTTAGACACTGTAAAGGGCCTTTTCGCACCTCATTGTTCCAGTGCAATATATCCTTTAATTTCTTGACTGCTACTTCTGTGAGCGCTGATAATGAATTCAACTAAAGTGAAATCCTTGGCAACTTCCATCTTGCTGTCTATCATAGCACTTAGTGATACAGTTGTGATGTTTTTCTACACAAAATATGTACTTAATACTTAAGGCTGTATTATTTTTTTCTTAAGGCTATGTTATTTGATCCTCATCATTAAGTGTGTAAGGTTCTCTTCCTTTTCAGGCACCATCTGCATATTGCTGGTTATTAATTCCTCCAATCCTGATGCCTTGTTCTTCTTCACATACACTGACATCTCAGATTCTTTTCTAAGCCCACAAATTATGGGAGCTTGCTATTCATAAGGTTTTCACTGGCTAAGTTTTAAAAAGTGACCCCCTCTTCCTTGATCCTAGACTGTCATAGTCAGCAAGCTCCTCTAAAACTTATTCACTTTGGGTGACCCTGCTGGTCTTTGAAATTCCATTGGCATAGCTTCCAGCATCACAGCAACACCCAATCCACTCCAACACCACAAACAGAGTGACAACTGGTGGTACCAGCATTTCAAAATCTCACTGCCACCACAAGGTGTAGAAGGGACCAGGTATCAGACATTAAAGAACAAAAATCATATCAGTGGGTGCCCAACTTCCTGATATGATCACTGAAGACAAATGTGTGCATGAGAAAATGTGCTGAAGAAAGCTGATGGTGCGCGGCTATCAAGAGATATACAGTCTGGGTTCTTAAAGGATTGAAGATAAATAAGCGGCCATCTAGCTCAGAAGCAACAAAGCCCACATGGAAGAAGCACACCAGCCTGTGTGACCATGAGGTGTCAAAGGGATCGGGTATCAGGAAGCAAAGAACAAAAAGCATATCATTGTAAATGAGGGTGAGTGCAGAGTGGATATCCAAAGCCCATCTGTAGGCAACTGGACACCCCCTACTGAAGGATTGTGGGGAGGAGATGAGCCAGTCAGGGTGCAGGGTAGCAACGATGAAACATACAACTTTCCTCTATTTCTTAAATGCTTCCTCCCCCCACTATCATGATCCAAATTCTACCTTACAAATCTGGCTAGACCAGAGTATGTACACTGGTACAGATAGGAACTGTAAACACAGAGAATCCAGGACAGTTGACCCACCCCTTAAGGCCAGTGCTGAGAGCGGCAATACCTGGAGGGTGGAGGGAAGGTGGGGTAGGAAGGGGGAACCGATTGCAAGGATCTACATATAACCTTCTCCCTGGGGGATGGAGAACAGAAAAGTGGGTGAAGGGAGATGTTGGACAGTGTAAGATATGACAAAATAATAATTTATGAATTAGGAAGGTTTCATGAGGGAGGGGTAGTGGGGAAGGAAGGGGAAAATGAGGAGCTGATATTAAGGGCTCAAGTAGAAACTAAATGTTTTGAGAATGATGACGGCAACAAAATATACAAATGTGCTTGACACAATGGAGGTATGTATGGATTGTGATAAGAATTGTATAAGCCCCCCAAAAAATGATTAAAAAAAAACAACTTCACTGCCATCAAGTCAGTTCCAACACATGGAAACCCTATAGGACAGAATAGAAATTGCCCCTGTGGGTTTCAGAGGCTATACATTTTTATGAGAATGGAAAGCCTCATCTCACGGACTGGGGGTGTGTTCAACTGCCGACCTTATGGTCAGCCATCCAATGCAAAAACCACCATGACACGGAGGCTCCTTGTTCCAAGAACAGTCAGGGAACAATAATTATATATACACAGAGGAGGGGTCTTCAAAGTAATTGTGGGAAATTGGACTTTTTTCCTGAGCTTTTTGAATGTCCGTGTAATTGTGTTGCGGTTGTTCATTGTTGTGGAGCTGGAGCACACTTACGACACCTCCATGTACAAAACAATGAAGGGTGGCCCAAAACTATGCCCTTTTCACAATCACCGGAAGGCTCCAGTCCATTGTTGCAACACTGTATTTGGACACAACACTTCCAATCTAGGGGGACTCATCTTCCGGAACTTTATTGGATGGCGTTCTGATGAACCAGGTTTTTATTGCCCAATTTCCGGAAGTAGATTACCATGGTTACTTCCTAGTCTGTCTTAGTCTAGAAACTCCACTGACACCTGTCCACCTGCTGGTATTGGAAATATAGGTGACGTAACTTCGAGTACCATAGCAACCTGTAAGCCACCATGGTTTAACAAACTGACAGATAAGTGGTGGATATATATTTATGCTTATATCTATGGATTCATGTACATGATGACCCCAGCACACTGCAGATTCCCCAGCAAGAATAAATATTTATCCAGTTAAACAGACATCTCAATTTCACCACCAAGGATCTATCTTTAAACATAGAGCTGAAGGGGGAAAGAAGTAAGAGAGAGAAGATGCTGAAAAATTCTTCTGTGTGTCCTGGTTCCAGCCCCTGTGAGTCTGCCTAGACACACATGCTCGCAGTTTATTTGGGAGGCAAGCATGGAGCCCAGGGGATGCAGAATTATTCCACCATGCCCACTGCATGCTGGGAATCATGTGCTGCTGTGACTATGTGAGCTGCTGTACTCATTCCCGCCCTCATTTCCTGTTTCCGAAGGAGACGGTGGTGAAAAAGGAGACCTTGGAGAGGAGGGGAAACATGGCAAGGTGGGACGTGTGGGACCGAAAGGTAGGTAAACTGAGATGACATGTACAGTTAGGGCTGCGTTGCTTGTCTCTGTCTCCTAACGTTTGCACAGGAAAGTGATCAGCTTTCGTGAAGCCCTCTTCCCTGGAGACACATGAAAGCTGTGCAGCCGTGAATGAACTCACCACCTGGGTGCTCCTAAGGGACCCCTTGTCAGCAGATGTTCCCTCATTTCTCAGGCTGCATCCAGGATGCTCCAGGAACCCAGGGAGCAGCAGTCTCTGGGCAAGTGTAAAAAGTTCTGTGAGTTTCAGAAACACAGCTGTGTTTATAACCTCCCTTCAGGAGCCACTGCTTAGTAACCTCTTGTTGGCTGGCCCAGACCTGAAGAAGGAGGATGAAAAGGAAGAGACACAGTTCCTGGATCCGTTGGTTTCCTCATCTTTCTACCAGGGGCTTTTATTTCTCCACACCCCCTCTCCTTAAACAGAGGATAACACGGAGGGGGTAAATGATGGGTTACTGGGGGGGACAGAAGAAAGGAGAAGAGAGCAAAAACCAAGGCTCTTTGGGAGAGATTTACTCAACGCCAAGTGTTACTTCGTTAACCCCTCCCAGGGGGATGGACCACAGTAAAGGGGGTGAAGGAAGACATCGGTCAGTGGAAGACATGAAAAAATAATAACAATTTACAAATTGTCAAGGGTTCATGAGGAAGAGAGAGTAAGGAAGGGAAGGTAAAAATGAGGAGCTGATACCAAGGGCTCAATTAGAAAGAAAATGTTTTGAAAATGATGATGGCAACATATGTACAAATGTGCTTGACACCATGGATGGATGTATAGATGGTGATAAGAGCTGTAGGCGCCCCCAATAAAATGATAAAAAATAAATTAAAACACACAAACACAAATATCCCTGACCAACTGCTACCAGGCAGTTACACTGGACCACAGTTGGAAACTCTTGAGCAATTCAGAAGGGGGAATAAAGACTCACAGACTCGTGAGACCTCAATTTGAGAGATGCTGACTTAAGCCTTTCTTACTGTTTACACAAATAGATCAATTGCAGAATTATTATTACTGAAGTCTGGCTTCTGACAGGTGAATATTTTCTAGATCATCATTGAAAAGAGACAATATTACTCACAATGTGGCAGAGGCTCAGTGATCCCCAGTCATAGAGTTTGGGAGAAGGACGGGGCTGCCGGTGTCCTTTGATATATAGGTTTCATGACCGCACATCTGCCTCTCCTACTTACAAGTGGGTAACACTGACAAACTTGATTCAAAAATAGAACAAAAATGGAATCCCAAGGTGAAACCAAAATAAACAGGAGGCTGAGCAGACCTAGACAGGAGCACCCAGACTCCTTTCAAACAACCCCTTCATTTGACCTGTAGGATAAGTCTCCTCTGCTGCTGTCATTCTCGAAATGCTACTTATAGCCATGGCATTCTGGTGTCCTCATTTTCCACGACTGTCATGCTCACCCACATCTTAATCCAAACATTATCACTCCATTAAGGTAGACCAGATAGCGCAGGGTATAATGTTCGATGTCGCAGTAGCAGAGCACACATCTCCTTCAAGAGAGGCATCGTAGAGGAGGGTAAGTCAAAAAGTATTACAACTAGACCTCCAGTTTATACTCACACCGTTTATCTCAAGCGCACTGTGTTATAGCATGCGGCTGCAATCTGTTTACAGTGAATGACTACAAACGAGTTGTATCAGTGATGCATCTGTTTTGCTGCATAGCGTTCCTTTAAAAAAAAAATGCCCCAGACAAACTGTGAGTCTTGGAGGAATCTGCTGGGCCACTGAAATCCAAACCAGAGAGGTCAGCTCAGAAGGATGTGGGGAACATTTTTTTATATTCTAGAGATGTAATTTTGATAGATTTTCTAAACGAACATGGAACCATCAGAGGGGCTTATTAAGAAGGAGTTTAAGAAAATTGAAAACTACATTGGTGAGAAAGAAGTCATACAGTTACGCTAATGAATTGCTTTCCATCACAACAATGCATCTCCTTATTCTTTCAGGATAACAGTGAGGATTGTCTTGTGCAAATTTTCATTGGAAAACTTTACCCCATTCACTCTTTGGCCCAATGTTGCCTCTTCATCTTCTTGTTCCCCAAACACAAAGAAGATTTATAAGGAATACAGCTGGACTCCCCTGAGGAGGCCCAACTGCTCTTTTGATATGATGTAAATGGAAAGACACAGACTTCTTCAGGGAAGGATTAGAGATGGAAACCCTTCAGAAGTGTATAGTCCTTCAGGGAAGATCTATCAAGATCAATATTTTGGCATTCTGATATTTGGGTTCATAAAAGATTTCTATGATTTTGACTTACCCTCGTGTTAACCACACCTTTAGGAAGAAGGGGGTTTAGTTGTAGTGAGTTAAGATGAAGCGAAATAGGTTGAGGTAGTTTATTGTGCCAACCTGGCCGATAAACACACGTGGGGTTAATTGAAGGGTGGAGGGATAAATGTCTCGGTGAGCCTCTCCTTTCTAGTTCTCGGGTCTCTTGCTTTGTGATGGTCGGACCAGGGTGCAGCTGTCTTAGCCAGTTCCCTGCTTCAGCTGGCAAGGCTCACTTCCTGCAAGACATCCCCAAGGAGAAGCCACATGGACCTAAGCCGATGCAGCCCTGGGTGCTGGAGCACCTGTGTGGAGACCCCTGCCAGTGCTGACATGCTTACACGTTCGCTGATTTGGTTTTCCTCCTGCAGTTGGCATCACTTCATGTATTTTGTGAGATGGAGGAGGACTTTGTGGATTGGTGTATTAGTCTGGGTACTTTAGAGAAACAAATCTACAGAAACTCATATGTATAGGAGAGAGTTTTATATAAAGAGTAAGTGCAATCAAGAAAACATTCCAACCCACTGCTGCCCAAGACCACAAGTCCAACATTAGCCCATATGTCCAACACCAATCCACAAAGTCCTCCTCCATCTTACAAACACATACAATGATGCCGACTGCAGGAGGAAAGCTGACTCAGTGAATGTGTAAGCATCTCAGCGCTGGCAGGGGTCTCCACACAGCTGCTCCAGCACCCAGGGCTGCATCAGGGTAGGTCCATGCAGCTTCTCCTTGGGGATGTCTTGCAGGAAATGAGCCTTGCCAGCTAAAGCAGGGAACTGGCTAAGGCAGCTGCACCCTGGTGTAACCATCACAAAACAAGAGACCCGAGAACTAGAAAGGCAAGGCTCACTGAGCCATTTATCTCTCCACTTTTCAATTAACCCCACATGTGTTTATAAGCCAGGTTGGCACAATAAACTTCAACTAACTCAATTGGTGTTGGACAAATGGGCTAATATTGGACTTGTGGGCTTGGCCAGCACTGGGTTGGGATGTTTTCTTGATGTGCACTTAAACTTTATATAAAACTCTCTCTTATACACATGAGTTTCTATGGATTTGTTTCTCTAATGTACCCAGACTAACACATAGGTGTACCATACAGGATCTAGAGATGGCATGTTTTGTTTTTCAGGGATTAAAGGAGAACTGGGTGATGCAGGAGACCAAGGCAATCTTGGTAAGACTGGACCAATTGGCAGGAAGGGTAAGCTGAAGTTTACAATTCTACAGTAGTATTTTAAAGCAAAGTGAGCATACACTTATTACATACTTAAGGTTTTTAAATCCCAAGAAATAATTTATTTCTTCCTTTTAAAATATGATTTCTTTTTCTTTATATTTTAGCTATTTCTTCCATGTTTAACTATTGTTCCTCATAGATCAAGATAATAAAAGCTTCTAGAAAATTTAAAGATAAATGAAGGAATAAAATTGAGCATAAAATTCTACTAGTCTCTATGTTAAATTGTCTCCTGTTTGACTACTAATCCTTGAGACAATCTGCATGTGTGTCATGGATCATGAGTCGTGTTCAGGAGTGGAAAACAATTATCCATAAAACACAAGGTAGGCAGAGGACAGTGTAATTTGCTTTCCTAATTTGAGTGTAGTAACTAATAATTCTGCACGCCTGGTCTATTAACAGGATAAGGAACTTGAAACATATGTGTGCACATTCTTTTGTTGCCAGGCATGCCCTGGTTTTTCATACAATTACAAGCCAATGTGATAAATGATGGGTAGCCTTCTGTTCGTGATCCTTATCTCATACAGCCCTGCAATGGCAGCATCATTGTTTGTGGCTGATCCTCACTGGCACTGTCTCACTTGGTTTGGAGGTACAGAACTGGGGGGGATGCAAAATTTTGTTCCAAATGACGCACAAACTATTTAGAAAGATGATAATCCCTTGTAAAGAATGGTCATACAGAATAACACAACTACTGTACGAACCATAAACATATATATATCAAATCCTCTGGAGGCCATAAAAGAAAGATAACTCTGACTGAAAGAGTAAGACTAAATTGATATAGGTTAGACTAGGAAGAACTGACATACATCTCGAAGATTAAAAACTGTATGGAAATGGGGAAGAAGCATTTTAGGGAGATGATACTCATGCACAAGAAAAACTTGCACAAAGATGCAGATGGGAGGGAGCTCAGAGCCATGGGAAAACATTTGAATATTATGATTTTTTAATATGAATTCTATGATGCTGTAGTATTGGTTTATTTCAGCACAGAGTAATGCACTTCTTATTTCTATTCTCAGAATAACTAACTGTTCATTTTTATTGTGTTAAAATCCACATCACCAAAATATGTACTGTTTCAAACAGCATTCAGTGTGCAATTCAGTTACATTTTAAACACCATAACCATACTATGCAACCATCTCCACTATCCAATAAAAAGCAAATGATAACTCTGAATTGAAATGCATTACACCTTAAACAGTAACTCCACTTTTCTACCACACACTCATTTAATAACCACAATAACCTTTTTCTCTATACATTTCCTGTTCTAGATATTTCATACCAATAGGCCCATCCACTTCTCCTCATTTTTAGTCTGACTTATTTAAGTTACTATAATATTTTTAAGATTCTGTCCCTGAAAGTATCAGAACTTCATTTCTATTTATGGCTAAATAATATTCCCTTGTATGCTGCCATAATTTGCTTATCTTTTCATGTGTTGGTGGACACTGGGGTTATTTCCAGTTTTAGCTATTGTAAATGTACTGCAAACATGAATATTGAGATTCATGTGTCTGTTTGGGTCGCTATATTCAAGTTCTTTGAGTATATACCCAGATGTGGAACTGCAGTTATCTGATAGTCCTATGGAATCACTACAAATCAGAGTCAGAGTTGGCTAAATGGTAACTGCTTTTTTTAATGCTGCAGTTAATCTTGTATATAATTTCTAAGGAATTGGTTGAACCATTTTACATTTCCATGGGTAATTAAGAAGTTTTCTGATTTCTCTATATCCTCACCATTCATTGTTGACTTTTCCATTTCTTTGATAAGAGCCATCCTACCAATTGCCATCTAGTCAATTTCTGACTCATTGAGATTACTGGGGGCAAATTAGCACCTTCTTGTCATTTTTATTTGTATTTCCTACGTGACACGTGATGTTGAACATTTCTTGCTATGCTTCTATATATATATTTTTAGTTAGTTCTTTTAGTTAATTTTTATATATTTTATAGGTATGGGTCCAAACTTACTCTTTTGTGTGCCAAGATTCAGCTGTGCCAGAACATTAAATATTCCTTTTAATAATGTCTTCAGTATGTTTAATTTTGTAGTGTTTTTCTCAAAGAGGGCTCCACAAATGCTCTAAGGTTTAAAGCAACCTCATCAAAGGATAGATCCGCCTTTGGCTAAATCAACTTCGTATAAGAATTGGTTTAAGGAATGGAAAGTGATAGTCAGAATTGGAGTGTTGAAACCAAAGATTTATGAAATGCAGCTATGTTGGAGGAGGTGAGGCATCTGGGTATTGCTGTAGAGAGGAGAAGTGGAGGAGGAGGAATGTGAGTTGCTGCCATGGGTGACTCCAAAATGTTAAGACTTCCATCCATTGTCCCATTCTAGATCTTTCATTTTTGTGGATTCAATGGTGTCAATTCTGGCTGTGACCCCAATTTTAAGAGGTAGAGTTGGTGATCATGAAATAAGTTGTAACCCTTTTTCATAATAAGACTGTATTACGGGACTGGTTGAGACTGGAAGACTCCCTGAGACGGTGTCACTCTGAAATGTTCAAAAACCTTGAACCAAATTGTTTCGTGAGGTTATCTAGATAGCAGATGGATTCGTAAAATAGGCAACATCATCTGGGAGGACCGTGTCCTTAAAAAAATCATCTAGGTGAGACCCAACAGTCAACACTTACTCCAAAGCAAAGATGTGAATTCAACGGGGCAGTGAATAGATGGTTAGCGACAGAGCCACCAGAATGGAAACAACGAGAAGGTTGAAAAACGGAACCAATGTCACTGAATAAACGGGAAACTGTTCCACAGGAACCTAATTTGTTGTGTAAACTTGCACCAAAAACAATAAAATATTTTAATTTAAAAAGTGGGGCATGTCCCACTGGAGGGTGGAGACAAGGAAATATAGTTTTTAGCACAATTGCTTGATCTTAAAGTAGATGAACTTCCAGAAATGTGGAACACCTGCAGCAGAGTTAGCTGTCCATGTTGCCTTAAAATCAATTCATCCTTCAAGTAGCATCTCTTCCAGGTCCCCTATCACTCTCCTCATTGCCATGGCTGGTTAACCTGTCTACTTTCCCTTGAGGCAGTGAGCCTCCAGTGGGAACAATAAATGGAAGATTGACTGGGTCTGTCTGCTTAAATGAACTTGGGATGAATGCTGTCTTTCTATCCATTTTATCTGAGAAATCTTTTTTGTAATAGAAACTTTTAAATGTTTGTTGAATTAAAGACAAATGAATGAATGATCAAAACACAATTTCTTACAATGTAGACCTTTTACTGCCTACTTTTTATTCCTATAAATACCCCTTTCCTCTACCATCCACTTTCATCATTGGGTCCTAAGAATTCCTTCTCCCAAGATGTCCCAGCAAAATTTATGAACGTGTCATGGAACTTGTAAAAAATGGAGGCACAATGTTCCGGCTCCCCTGGATTCATTTCACTTCTAATCTGTGCTTTGAAATGCGCAGTCCCCATTTTGTCAAAGGCCCTTTGAAATCTTTCATTGATTCAGATCAATCTCAACTTTTGGGGCTGACCTTACTGTTGTCACTTGCATGGATGAAGTAGCTTTCTGGATGTCAATATTTCATTTTTAGGGATAAGAAAGCAGGATGATTTAGTATAGGTAAAACCAATCTCATAGCAAAATAACTGTTTTTACTGAAAGGCAATAGTTCTTTGACACTCAGAGCATCATGATTTTGTCTTTCTTTGTTTATAGGCACGCTCTAATCTTTCAACCTAAGACAGTTATTACCTATATGTTCCGACTAGTGTGCCAAAATAAGTTTTTGTGGGTAAATTTAAACCAGAATTGGTTTCCAAGAAAAGACAATTCTAAGTGAAAATCTTCCATGTACTGGCTAAGCCTTTGTATGCATTCCCTTACCATAAGCGTGATTTAAGGAGGAGAGGCTAGCATTAGCTGAGCCTCCTCTACCAGTTGAGTCCTATGCTAATCCCTTGATATAAGATAACATTATCTGATTTATATTCTATAGTGATTTATGTATTATTATTTCCGTTTGCAAATGCAAATGCAGAAGTCTTCAGAGATTAAGTGGCCAGTCCAAGTTTAGTTTGTGTATGGTAAAGTCAGCGTTCAGACCCTGGCTTGCTGGCTTTCATCACTGCCCACCCACCACACTGAGTTGGCTTTACCATCTGTCAATAAAGGAAAGAAATTCATCTCAAATGCTTACAGCTTCTGAGAAGAAAAGCCCCACGTAAATGCAAGAAGTTGTGTCTCACCTTCTTAAGCCCCGGCTGGAAGCTCAGCTTTTCCATGGATCTCAACCTGTACCCATAGCCACCTTTTCCTTCTCTGAATGCTTAGCAGACATATCGTTTGTTCACTCTCTTACTAAATCACAATATTCCACATTCTTGGCCTCTTATGCAAGCTTTGCCTTTCTGGTAAGTGCATCATTTCTCCAAAGGAAATATCCTCTCTTGACACTTCTTTGTTGTCCACCTTTGAGTTTAGCCTAGAACTCAAATGATAACAGAACACGTATAAGCTTTCCAACCAAGCAGACTCATTCCCATTGATTCAATTCTGACTCCTGGCAACCCGATATACAGAATAGAACTGCCCCTTTCAAGTTTCCAGAGGCTGTAACACTTTATGGGAGTAAAAAGCCTCATCTTTCTCCTGAATAAGCTTTCGGTCTATGTTTAATTTACTTTACTCATAAAGAAAAAAATAAGAATTTTAATTAAAGTATTAGATATACTCACCTGATGCTTGAAGTACATATTATTTTAGTGGTGGTGAGGATGGGCCAGCACCGGGTGTTCTTACATTCTGTTGTCCATAGCAGTGCGATGAGTCGGCACCGATTCGAGAGCACCTAACAATAATAACCTTTGTAACTTAGACTTTCGATCCAATTTTCCAAACCCTTTGTTTTCCTTCATTAAATAACTCATCTGAGAAGCACTGTGTTCTGAGGAGTTAGAGATTACTGAGCCCACATATCAGCATTGTCATTCAACTGCTGGATGCGCTTAATATAGTGACAGATGCTACCCTAGCTTATAGGATTTAATGTGTATTTAGGGAATCCCAAATGGTACTTGGCATATCATCAGCATTCAGTAAATACATAGTTTCTTTCTTGTTTTAACATGTCTCTTAAATTTGTTCTTTTATAATTTTATATCATTTCATAAGTGTTTTTTTATAATGTCCACTTAAGGGAAATAAAGACGATAAAGGATACAACTGACCTGTGAGAAGATCATATCCTCACCTGCGCGCAACCTATTTCCATGCCTCCTACCCTCTGTTTCCCTCTGCCTCTACATTATCCACTACCTTGATGTCTGCTGAAAATTTTCGTGGCCAAGTTCAAATTCTATCTTCACAGAAGAGTTATAAGGAAGTCCATCCATTCCTCTGACTGGAACACGATCTCTTTTGGCTCCCTCCCAGAATATGTTATCTCTCTTCAGTGTCCTCCACATTCATCACAGAACATTGTCACAGGTTCCATCATTGTCTTGTTACAGTGAAGTACAACTTCTGGGCCGCCCCCATGCACATTTGAATGCCACTCTGCATTCCAAGGACCCTCTTCTGTGTTTGGGGAACTCAAGAGTGTCTGGCATGTCTCTAAGGAAAGATGGCCACATAAGTCAGTTTAAGACATCTTGGGAAATTCTTGGAGCCTATTATATACATATATCTATACATATTTGGTTGACAGCACTGAGCAGCAGTGAGCAGGGAAGAAATAGCTAAGGGATCTCCTTAGTACAGGACTTCAGTGTATCGTCCTCTTGCTCCTGTTTTTGGTACAGGAATAAGTTTGGCAGAACCTCCATTCCTACTCTCTCCCCTCCACATGGTCTCTTCAAGGTTCATCCTCAACTCCCTGGCTACACCAACTTCCATCAAGATTATGTCCCCGTACCTCTTTCTAGCTCAGATGACCTTGATCCTGTATTCAGCCCTCCGGTGTTTGTTTTGTATTCTTTTTCCAGTTCATCATTGAAGCACAAATTCTGGTTTACTTCCATCAGGGTATTATTTCCTTTTGCATCTATAGAACTTGAGCCAAACATTTCCTCTTGTGAATCAAAAGCTTTTGTTCTCGATAATTATGTATAAGACAAGTTTCAAGGACATACTTTAAAGTTGAAAAAATTTTTTATTTTTCTTTTCTTTCTCTTTGCTTTAACAATCCTAATTCTCCTCCAGTTATTTGGTGGATGCCTCTGACTAAGGAAATGACCACATCCCAGGAAAAGCAAAAGTTGATATTTCAGGAGGCGATGCCGTCTTATATTACAGATATTTGCATATATCACATCTCTTCTAAAAATTATAAACGCTTTCAAGTCAGAAGTTAAATTGGTTTCTTTTAGAGCCTCTCAAAGTCCCTAGCCCTTTGTCTTACAAGAAGTAAGTAAATAGTAGATATTTATTAAATTGAGTTGAAAACTACCATATTTGTTGAAGTTCTTTTTGAATCCAAGGGCAAAGGCTGAGAGAATAACTTGGAGCATTGTAAATATACTGACACTGTGATATGCTAATCATTTGATCCAGATTTGTAAGACAAAACTAACTTTAAAATAAAAAAGAAGCTGGGGACTGGATTACCTATATACTTGAGTAGATGCCAAGCTGAATATAAGTCAAGGCACCTAACTTGACCACAAAAACTGCATTTAAAATTTGCTGAAAACCTCAGCTTATACACGAGCGTATATGGTATCCTGTTCAGAAGGCCACAGCATGCAAACATGTTAGGGCAGGCAAGAAGAACTCTGGTAGCAAGCAGTCAGGCACCACCCTGTAACCAAAGAACAGCAGTTTGAACCCAGCCGCCCTTTCACAGGAGAAAATAACCTGGGGACCTGCTTCAGCAATGATTACAGCCTAGGGTGGACCTGAGGGAGGTAGTTGGACCCTGGCCTGTAGGGTCACTGTGAGTCACAACAAGGATGACAATAGAAACATTGCCATTGGATCAGTTCCAGCTCATGGAGATCCCTTTAGGACAGAGCAGAACTTCCTCATAAAGTTTGCAACCCTGTCATTTTCATCCAAGCCTATCATTTTTATGCAAGCGTGCTGCCACATTTTTCTCCAGCAGCATGGCCGGTGGGTTCAAACAACTGTTCTTCTTGTATGTCCCTTACAACACGGGTAGGTAATGTAAATACAAAGGTCCCTTCTAGATAAATCTAGAGTTCTTCAATGCCTCTGCATAAATGATAATGACTCAGTTGCCTTCCTTACGTCAGCACTTACATCGAATCCCTGGCATGAAACTGCAGGATGTTAGTCGGGAATATTTCTAATGAAACGTCAGAATTGTTTCCTGAATTCTAAATGTAAAAGGTATTGTCAGTCCTCCGTGAGACTGGTTGGCGCAGGGGCTCTAACAGTGGGCTCACACTTAACCACGGAGAGTGTGCCACAGGCCCGGGCAGTGTTTCCTTCTGTTGTATGCCAGGTCGCTGTGGGTCAGAATTGCCCAGACAGCCAGTAACAAGAACAACCTGAAAGAATTCACCATCGTGTTTCATTGTCCATTTCGTTGCTGTTGTCTTTACTCAGGGGACAAAGGGGAAAGGGGCTTGTCTGGCATCGCTGGAGGAAAGGGCAAAGCAGGTATGATCTGATCACTTTTCTCTTTGATTCTAGCACTATTCCACTTGTCTTGAAAGTAAGCAGTCCCATACATGCCTATTCTGTGCAAACAGTGCACTTGACCCCTCTCCCAAAGGCTGGAGGTTCAAATTCCCCCACAGGAACCTTTCAAGGAAGACTTGGGAAGCGAGTTCTGAAATGTCAGCCACTGACAACCCCGGGGAATACAGAGTTCCCCTGACACACAGAGGGTCGCCGTGACCCAGAATGGGCTCACCCGCCCTTGCTATAGAGTACAGTGAAAGGGAGAGTCCCCTCAGTGCAGTCTGATACCCCAGAGGCTCATTTACTAACCTGAGGGCAAGAAGGGAACTTCCCTCCCTATCCACTCAGTGACTTTTCACATGCCACCCTCTCCAGCTTCTTGGGAGGAAGCAAACCCACTTCTAGCAGGGAGTAGCCCTCATTCTTCTGACCCAAGAGAAAGTGCAAGAGGGCTGAGTGGAGGGCTTGCATCAGCATCAGCATGCCTGACATTCTACTGACATCTCAACCCAACACAGGCCAGCTGTTTTGCCAGCAGCAAACCGACCAGATCCAGAAAGTCTCCCATCATCATCCTGGAGCATGCTTTTAATGACCAGGGATGTTCTCCCTGATTCCTGAAGACATGTCCTTGCCATTCCAGGGGTGCATTGGATAGTATCAGTTGTTTCCATCCACTGCGGTGGCGTGGAGGTTCATTCGAAAGACTCTTTCCAATTCTTTATATTGAGCAGAAGTTAAAATAGATGAGGAGTCCCTGATTGGCGCCAATGGTTAAGGCACTCAGCTGCTGGTTGAAAAGTTGGAGGCCCAAGTGCCCCCTGAGAAGCAAGGCCCAGCAGTCTACTTCAACAAAATCAGTCACTAATAACCCTACAGGGAACAGTTCTACTCTGATACATGTGGGGTCCCCCATGGGTATGGGGCTTCAGTGACAACTGGCTGGTGACCAGGGATTCAGAAAGCCATGGGCATATTTCTATGGTTGTTTATTGGCGAGAAAATTATTTTCACTTCTCATGTTGCCAATGAAAACAGCAAACAGAAGTGTTTGCATAAAGCAGTTGTTCAATAGAAAAAGAGAGGATCATTTGAATACCCTAACAATTCCTCTTCAGTCACATTAATGCTAGCAGGTAGTTCAAAAGGCTGGAAACACAGGAGAGTAGACGGAATGAACATCCTGGCTAATCCACAAATGGGAATAAAGAACTATTGAAATTATCATTTGGATCTCCTCATCAGATTTGACTTCAGCCCTCAAATCATAAAACCATGCTTCTATGGACAGCTAGAATTAGTATTTGATTTAAATCACGTCAGGTTTCTCTATCTTGGGAGCGTTGGGTAAGCCAGAGAACAGGGCAGTCAGAGAAGAGAGGACAGGCTAGAAGTGTTGTTGAAGCAAATTGGAAAGACTTGATCCTGAAAGTGGGCAACATGTTCCAAGTTCAACAAAAAATGCTAGCTGGTTTGTAACATGTTCGCAGTGCTGGGTCATATTCACCTCCCTTTTTCCAAGTGTGGGTTAGAACTGTCCTTTAACTCCTTCAATACATCTAAGAAGGTATTTCTCGAGTTCCTTAAGAAAATGTACATTGGAAACCTTGTTTCAAATAGAAGACATACAAATGATAGCCATGCATAGAGAGATGTAGCAAGACAGCATTTGGAAAAAGATAATGCTCTTATTAAGTTTTCTGCATGTGTTTCATTATAAATGTATAGTTTTTTTCAGCTGTTTTTTTAAAACCATTGAAAAGGCACCGTCTGTGACTGTGGAAGATACCGGAAAGTTGTTGGACAGCTCGACATTAGTGTGGCTAGACTAAAGACGTCCATGAAGTTCGTCAAGAATGGTAAGCGTCTTTCAGTTTCCTTCATGCTCTGTGTCTACCTCTTTGGGTCTTTCGACACTAGACTTTCAGCATCCTTAGCAAGAAGTACCCAGGCTTGATCATGTCACCAGTTCAGAGGTTTTTCACAATGCCGAGTAGACACTGATGCTCTGGGAACTTCAAGGCCACTATGTAAAAGGCACTGGGATATGTGCTCTGTGCATGGTGATGAAGCTCTCAGTGGTCAATCAACAGTGCAAGCCCACAAGCTGCTCCTTGGGAGAAAGATGTGGCAGTCTGCCTCAGCAAGGACAATCACCTTGGAAACCCTTAAAGCAGTGGTTCTCAACCTGTGAGTCGTGACCCTTTTGGGGGTCAAACGACCCTTTCACAGCAGTCGCCCATTTCATAACAGTAGCAAGATTACAGTTATGAAGTAAGTAGCAACCAAAATAATTTCATGGTTAGTGGGGGCGGGGTCACCACAACATGAGGAACTCTATTAAAAAGGGCGTGGCATTAGGAAGGTTGGGAACCACTGCTTTAAAGCCAAAAAGTAAACCCACTACCATCAAGTCAATTCTGACTTATGGTCACCTTATATAAGAGCTCTGAGACTATAACTCTTTATGGGATCAGGGAGTCTCATTTGTCTCCTGCAGAGTGGCCAGTGGGTCTGAACTACTGATCTTGTGGTCAGTAACCCAACACCTAGCCTAACAGCACCACCAAGACCTATGGGGCAGTTCTGTTTGTCCTATAGGTTCACTGTGAGTCCAAACTATCCCAAAGGCCATATTGTTTCATTTTATTGTTTATTTTTGTTTTGATTTAATTATATGTGCACTGCTGTGAGAAAGTAGATTGGAGAAAAGAACAGAGTTTGGTGATCTGTGAAAGAACTCCAGGGTTATGTGTTGAACTGCTAACCACCAAGTCAGCAGTTCAAAGCTCCCAGTTGCTCCATGAGAGAAAGATGAGGTTCTATGTTCACATATAAATTTACAGCTTCAGAAATGCTAGGGAGCAATTCTACTCTGTCCTACAGGGTTACTATGGTTTGGAATTGACTCAATCGCAGTGAATGTTCTGTGCCTAAAGAATGGAACGGGGCAGCAAGAATTAAGCAGGGTTAGCATTTCAGAATAAAGAGGTAATAACAACAATAGCTTATTTCCTAAGCATTTAGAAGAATACATGGCTTCTACCACAATCTCACCGAATTTTCAACCTCCAGTCAATGGCCATTATTCAGACTCTGAATGTGTGAATTCACCTCCTAGCTGGCATTTGTAACTCCCAAATTGATACTTGAGCTACTTAGACTATTTTTGGACAAGCACAGAGGGTGAAACTTGGAGTGTTCAATGCATGCATCATAGCTGAATGGGGCTGCAGTCGGCCTTCTAGTTTCAGCTCTGCTCACATAAATAAATATCTTTCCCCCAGTCTACTTAGTGCTGTTTGTTGCTTGCTTGCATTTTTCTGTGTGCATTTGCTGTTTGGATTGGTGGTTTGCTTTTTCAAGCTGTCCCCAAAGAGTAATGTTGAAGGTCTGTCTAGTACATGTAAGTGCATGAAAGTTGTGATGCACCCTGTTGGGGAAAATAGTTATGTTTGCTAACCCTCATACAGGCATGAGTTATGTTTCTGTTTATAGCAATGAGTTCAAGGTTCGTGAATCAACAATGTATGGTCAATTAAGTGTCTTCAAACAGAACCATATATATACACATACATAAACAAAAACCGATTTATATTTGTATATTGATTTGTTGACCAAAATAAAGTAACCAGAGGCTTATAGGAACCTAACTAGGAGCAATGGTTTAGTATATGTTAATTCAATGTCTGTGACATTTTAATAGAACATATCTACTATGAAAAGTAATCTACTGTATTTTCTATGATTAAATTGAAATTTCAGAAATTAACCTGCCTAGATACAGAACTAATGGGCAGGGGAACAAAGATCGGAATATGTTGTTGTTTTTTTTAGCTTTTCTGTCCATAATACAAATCAGTATGAACGTGAAGTGTTTCCTAGTTTTGCAACTTCTCCATATTGGTTATTGTTATCCCTTATCTCTCAAAAAACAGACTTACTGTCATTGAGTCAATGCTGACTTATAGCACCCCCCTTTAGGTTTTCTCGACTGTAACGGTTGACATGAATAGAAAGCCCAGTCTTTCTCCCAAGGAGCTGCTGATGGTTTTGAACTGCCAACCATGCTGATCGCAGCCCAACAACCACCCTACTACCAGGGCTTGTAGTCCAGCCATATTTGCTGTGCGTTATTGGAAGGCCACAGATGCCATCTCGTGTTCATCCTCATCTTGTAATACAAGAAGTATAGGGAACACTTGATGTTAATTAGCTTCCCATTTATAGCTCTAATTCTGGCCCATGCCAAAGATATCTTCTCTGAAATGCCTTGGAATGTCATGAATAAATTAGACTCCAAAGGTTTAGCGAGGAGCAATCATCCTTAATGTTATAGTGGCCCTAGATTTCTTTGTGAGTTTAATTAAAGTTATGGACCATAAAATGTCTCTGTAGAGGCCCTGAGTCCCCATATGTAGCTCCCATGTTGTGAGTACAGGATGATTCTGAGTGCTCAGTTCTGCCTGAAGCTTACTCAGGACCTCATCTCCCTCGTGTACTTGCAAAGATGTGTCAGTGACCTCGATCTATAGACATCTTTACAGCCAGGAGTTGACCCTAAAGTAGACACTGCTCTGTATGCTTCATCTGTCAGTTCAATGGGCTTTATGTAATGTTCCTGAAAGTGAAGCTACAGAGCAGAAAGGCACAGTCCTTTCAAGACTGTTCGAGCTTATTAGGAGAGAGTCAGAAACACGAGGTTCGATAAGACCGTGATGGTTGCTAACAAGGAGGAGGTAGAAGAGACAATGGGAATCTAGGAAAAGAGCATACAGTAGCCCCATTTCTGTCCAGGAGCATTGGGAAGGTTTCCTATAGAAGCTAACACTTAAGAAGTCTGAGCTCTAATGGAAAACCAGGCATTTTTAAGATAAAGAACCTGCAAGAATACTTTCCTGGCATGGAGATAAAGAGGTGGGAGAGAGGAAGATATGTTCAGGAAACTGCAAGTCTGGCTAAGGCATAGCCTAGGATGGAAAAAGAATGAGATAAGTTGTGTGGTTGCTTACGGAACAAATTTCTATCATCATAGCTCTCTGCTAGACAGCTGTTTTGGAAGTTGAAGGCAAGCAAGAAAGATAAATTGTAGAAGAAATTAGGCCAATACCTACCTCCTAATAAGATCTTGCAAAGTAATTGTTGAATGCTAAGTGATTTTAAATCCAACAATATTATTTATTTTCATTTTTTGCAATATGTAATCATGTCCTTCCTTTCTTTTTTCTATGCCAAGTCATAGCAGGGATTAGGGAAACAGAAGAGAAATTCTATTACATCGTGCAGGAGGAGAAGAACTACAGGGAATCTCTGACCCACTGCCGGATCCGGGGTGGGATGCTGGCCATGCCAAAGGATGAAGCTGCCAACACGCTCATCGCTGACTATGTGGCCAAGAGTGGCTTCTTCCGGGTGTTCATCGGGGTCAATGACCTGGAGAGAGAGGGGCAGTATGTGTTCACAGACCACACTCCACTGCAGAACTACAGCAACTGGAAGGAGGGGGAGCCCAGTGACCCCTATGGCCATGAGGACTGTGTGGAAATGCTGAGCTCAGGCAGGTGGAATGACACCGAGTGTCATCTGACCATGTACTTTGTCTGTGAGTTTGTCAAGAAGAAAAATTAGCTCACCGCCCTCATGCTCCATATTCTATTATTGCCCCATCACTATCATTACAGGAATGGGCTCAAACCAAAAGTGACGATGAGGATGGGCAACACTTCGTTCTGTTGTACTAAGCCGGCCCAATGGCACTCATGACAACAGCAATAATCATTGTAACGTTGGGGTTTTTTCCCTCCTCTCTCGCCATTCATTTCTAATGACACTAAATTCTTTCTGATGCGTGACAAGCGAGAAATGCTAAATTGTGACTAGGAATCTCCATCATCGTGTTCTTCCGTGACAACTTTGAGTCAGTAGGCTGCCAGGTGCCATGGAAGGAGAGTGGAAAGACCAGTGGGAGAAGGCAATTGCCTGGATGAATGTGAGAAATTGAAGGGAGAATAATATTTGTTTTCCTACTAAATCGCACCTTAACCCCAACATTCTCATAGCTCTATTTTATCTTTGTCTTCATTTCACTGATATGAACTTTCCTCTCTCTATATTTGGAGGTATATAAGAAGAGTATAGGAGGGGTATAGAAAAGGTATAGGAAGAGTATAGGGGGTATAGGAAGGGTTTAGGTAGGGTAGAGGAGTGTTATAGGAAGAGTAGAGGAATGGTATGGGAGGGATACAGGAAGCCTTCATAAGTTCTAGAAACTGGTCAGTGTCACTAATTAACAAGTCTCCATGTATTCTGTTCTTAACTCTACCTTCTCTCACAGTGTGACATTTCACAGAAGACAATTTTCCTTTCATAAATTTATGCTAAAAAAACCCAACACACATACTGAATGTTCTTTCCATTCTTTTGCCACCTCAAGAGGACAACGTCAGACTTTTAGTTTGGAACATGCCTGGAAGTCAGATTTCTTAAGATAGAAAATTATACCTCAGACTGCAGATCAAACATAAATGTAACTTTTACTTGGAATTTAAAAATAGTTCAAGAAACACTAGGTTATCCCTTTATATATTGTAGCTCCAGTTGTGGCCCATGGCATATGATCTGACTGATTAATATGCTGACAGAATAGCTGATAAAAGAGAAGAAACGGAGCAACCCCTCGGTTCATCTTAAACCACCCCTCCATGATCTTACCTAGAGCAAACTGGTTAGCAAATTGAATTGTTAATTAGATGAGTTCCGTGACGCCAATAAGGTTCACACACTTGCATCCTTAAGGGCCCACAAGGGGAGCATAGGTCAATCAGTGGTGCAAGCAGGGATTCTGGTGCCCTGGACACAGAGTCCTCCTCTGGAGTTGCCACTTGTTCCTGTTTGTTACCATTTCACTACGCTTCGTGATGTGTACAAAATGTCCAAAGCTAGAATTTTATATCTTCATCTTTCAAACTGTTGGCAACCGATCAACTTCTAATACCTATTTTATGCCCCACAAAACTGTCCACAAGCCTAAGCCATCATGTCTTCGGTTCTCACCTCTGGGGGGAAATCCTGACCGTTCTGAACATAGCAAGTGTCATTTTGTATGCACAGCACTCAAGATGTCCCTGCAGCACCTCGTTCAGTTCAGCCCAGTTACCGGAATGGGTTCTGCATTTACCCTCCATCCAGTTCCTAAGCCTTGTTGTGTGCCACTTGTTGATTCCAATGCAGACAGACCCCACATAACTTCCTGATAGGGTCGTGTTGGTAGCAATCGTTATAGAAGTGGACCACCAGGTCTTTCTCCCACATAGCTGCTAGGTCAGTTTGAACTGCCTTCCTTTTGGCTAACAGCCAAGTGCTTCACCACGGTGCCAAGAGGGTTGCAAGGAGGGCCAGGCACCTACAATTTGATAGACATGGCAGTGGATAAATTCCAGAGTAGGACACTCTATCACAGGCAGAATCTGCAGCTAGAATGCCAACCAATAACGTAAACAGGAGCCCAGAAACATTTGGGAGGAAAGGTGGGGGGGGAGGTGGGGATAAGGAAGGAAAACGGAGGGAGGAAAATAAGCACAAGAATTGCCTGGCTTCAGTCCACATTGGGATCAGTGTTCTGATTTGTTCTAAGACCTGGAAAGTACTAATTTTTGTGTATGCCCTAAGATCTGTTATTATTTCTATTATGAGTATTGTCATAATAACAATGACAATAATGACAAGAGATCTCTCAACGATGTTGTCTCTGCTGAGGATACTTCCAACAGAACGTGACAGAGCATCAAAGGGTAGGAGTCGTCTTGCAACCTGGCCTGGAATAAATGGTGAAGCCACCGTGCACTTAATGAGATAAGACAAATCCAATAAATTCAAGTTTTTGGTGAAGCCAAAGAGGCGCAAGTATAGAGTGTGAATACTATTAAAAGTCATGTGAATATTAATATCAATTTATTAGAACAGGTACATGGTAGACAGGAGTCAACCACTGGGGGAGAACGTTAGTAAGGGGTAAATAATTTGTTAAGGCCACATCGGGAAGACTGAAGGTAGATTCCCAATATCCACAGAAGATGAAATAAAAACCAGAATCCCACATATGACAAGTCAAGCTGATAGGGTGGGCAATTGGGGAGATTGTGTTTTGGTAAATCATAACATTCATTTATACAGTAAACAATCTTTAGGAAAAATCTAATATATGTTAGGTGGCACTGTGAAAAGGGCTGGAGACACAGTGGAGAAAGCTTCTAAGTAAGATTTCTAGCTTCTTAGCTTCATCCACCTCGGGGTCCTTGAATACCAAGTCCAAGCCAACTGAAGGCCAAAGCTCCCTCCATTTTCTGGGATTGAGTCTATAAAATTATCCTATTTCTCTACCTACTTTCTCTTCAACATCACAGTTGTAAAGATATACTGAAATAAATTGGACAGGATACTAAGTATTTTTAGAAATATAGCATCTTCTTTTTTATTTTCCTTGAAGAGTGACATTGACACATTTCCTCTAACTCATTTCCATTCCGGCTTAGTCATTTTGCTGTGAGCAAATCGTTACCTTGCCAAAATATGTGCTCACCCCACTGTCTTCTCACGACGTAGAGCACGTCTATGTGGGCGCGCATTGGCAAGAGCCAAATGATCCGTTTTCTTTCCTGATGACCTGCAGCCAACATGCAGTGAAACTCAAGTTTGCCACAGATTACTTCTTTTAAAATGAAATACGGAGGGGTAGAGAGGAAGTGAGGAGAAGTGAATTGGACACTTGATAAGTTATTAGAATGTCAGTACATCTCTCTTGAATTAATGTATCAGTAACTGCAGTCATGCAAATGAGCAGCCATACCATTTAAAATCTAGATAACTCTTTTACTGTAGTATCCTTAAACAGGAGAATTTATCAATAATTAATCCTTGCTCTTTGTGCAAGCATGGCTGGTGAATTTGGGGAGGGGGCAGGGTGCATAAAGATGAAAGTGTGTAAAACTCTTCAATATATTGATAGAATGTCAGTCCCAGGGAAGGGTATTCATAAGTGGTGTCATCATGTGTAGAAAGACCAGTCAGGCACAGAAGCATTTTCTAAGTCTTGAGGAAAAATCAAGTAAAGGAGTAATGTAATTGCAAACGACATTCAATTTTAATCCAGTGAGGGCCAGGTGAAGATGTTTCCCTTAGGACATAAGCATGGTCTAGCGTTAGTGATGTGGTTGACTCAGCATTGGACTACTAACCACATGTTCAGAGGTTCAAACCCACCAGCCACTCCTTTAGGGAAAGAAGAGGCTGTCTGCTCCTGAAAAGATCCCAAAGCTTTGGAAGCTCTCTGTAGGGTTGACTCAGAATCGGGTCTAATACCATAATACCCAATGGTATTAGATTTGGGGGTATTTCTGAGCATATCTTCTGCAGTAGACCACAAAATAATCAATTCAGAGAAGGTGATTTTTAGAGGAAGATTACCAGGAGAAACAGGTGTGATTCCAAAGCAAATTCTTCCTGATTTTTTTCAATATTTAAAAACAATTTTTCTAGTGCCTGCAGTCTGAAAGGCTTGTATTCAAACAAGCAGCCATCTAAGCGAGGAGTCAACTAAGCCCACATGGAAGAAGCCCACCAGCCTGTGCGATCCAGAGATGACAATTAACCAAACTCGAGTGCGGTGAGGCGAAAAGCATCAGAGCAAGAATTAGGACCACCCAGTTTGTGGAGGCCATGGGGGACGGTGGGCACCCAAACCCATCTGCAGAGTGTCTGCTCAGACTCAGCCACCGGCAGATCTGCTCTAGCCACGGCAAGAGGCACACTCAGCCTTACTATCAGGCAGAGACCCGTGCAATCTTGATTATGCTGGATTGAACTCAGCGCTTGGCCCATTGGCCACCCTATAGACCCAACCTGAATTTGTTCTGGGTCAAAGTATCTCGTGCTGGTTCCATGACGGACATTTCTTCCCTGGATTTTCTAGTATTGCTGGGGGTTTCTTTCTTCCACATTATTAGTATTTTTGTCTGTATACTATTATGTATTTACCCTTATCACGTTAGCACGATTTTGTTTTCTATTGTTTTCTGTTGGGTCTCCCAGTTGTGAAGCACAAGAGGAGTGGATGCGTAATGATAACAATGGATTCAAGAGCATATGGGGAATATGGCGGGGAGGGAGAGAGTGAGGGAAAGGGGAATTCATGAGTGACTAATGAAGATGGGAGGGGAAGGGAGCACTAGAACAGACTGTGGTTGCATGAATCATCTTTTTTGTTTTGTTTTGTTTTGTTTTTGTATGTGTATAAGAAAGAGCTTTATACAAAGAGAAATTTTATGTTGAGAAAACATCCCAGCACAGTCCAGATCAAGTCCATACATCCAACACTAGCCCATATATCCGATACCAGTCTATAAATTCCTCTTCAGACTCAGGCAACATATGCAATGATGCCTAATGCAGGAAGAACACAGACCAGTGAATGGAAAGTCTTGTGGATCTAGCGGCAGTGGAAGCATCTCAATGCTAGTGTGGGTCTCCAAGTGGCTCCAGTTCCAGGGCTCTGTCTCAACACGTCACATGAATCATCTTAAGGTGACCATGAGTGAGGAGGAATGCTCAAAATAATAAAATTACATTTAAATTAATTTTATAATGTGTATTCAAAAAATATAAGAAAGAAAAAAAAAAACTTTTCTCCTAAATCTCCTGTTTTCTACCCGCTTGATATTTTCGCTTTGGCCGGTCCAGGTACTTTTCAGGGACTCCATCACCAGCACTGATAATAGGTTGTCGTATTGACACTTGAAAGTAATGCACTTCTCTCATCCTCAAAATAGGAACATCTTCCTTTCCCTCAAAGAATTTAGAACACAGAACAGAGCCTAAAAGGAGCTGATTTATCAAACAATACATTTTGAGACACTGGAATTGAGTATCAAACGGGACATCTTTAAAAAATAAGATTGAAAAATATTTCCTCTGAATTTTCTAACACAAAACACCTTTGAACAGAGACTTCATAAATTAAATAAGTCAGGGGAGTAAATATGCATGTCATGTGTCGCTACTTTTTACAGTGAAAAGGAGAAAAGCTGAGCTCTTCTTACATACGGCTAGCCATCTAGCTTATGGAGGTGAGGGGCATTACATGACTGTTGTTCTTTAAAATGGAATTTGTTCTAAGTTTCTCTCATTCTTACATTTCTAAACTTCAATAGCTGGGTGTGCACTAATATTCTGGCCTCAAGCATTCAAGTCCTTATAAATTATTAAGGTACTGTTTTCAAGGGGAAATCATACATGCGTCAAGTGACGTATTCCTTTAATCCCCACAAACAAACCCTCAGTTTCATATGGACAGCGATTGCTTGATGTTCTGACTCGGTATGAAAAGCTCCTTATATTGGAAATCTTTCTTGCTAAATTATCTGTAACTGCTCTTCAATAATTTGCAGAGGTAGGATGCTAAAGCTTCCTAGGTTCAAATTTCAGTGAATGTACTCTGATTTCAAATGCTAATTACTTGTATGCACCTGATTTTGGAATTTTTTCCTCACACTTGTTTCATGAATGCTACTCTTGATTTTCTTTAGCTAATGATAGGATTCCTGATGGTGTGGTGTGTTACATGTTGGGCTGGTAACTGAAAAAGCGTCAGTTCGAAACCACCAGCTACTCCCTGGGAAAGAGACGAGGCTGTCTACTCCTATAAAAATTTACAGTCTTGGAAGCCCACAGGGGCCATTCTCTCTCCTAGAGGGTCCCAATGAGTAGGACTAGACCCAGTGGCAGTGAGTTTGAGTTTGAACTATTGTTTTTAGTGGACAATGCCTGGAATAACTTACCAGTGAAGGTTTCAAAAGAGTAAAACAGCATCACTGCATAGCCTCCTCAGGACAAATAGCTACAACTGTTCTGGTATTTATTGTGGACAATTAAAAGAAGACGGGTCCTGAAAGAAGACTGATAATGTTTCAAGAAGAAGGCAATGGTCAACTTTATCGACTCTCACTAAAGACTGCAAGCAAAAATAAACATGAAAATAATATATGGAATTCATCAGCATGGCATCATAAAGAAATTCCGAAGAAATCTCAGCTGAGTAATGTGAACAAAAGACAAGCCAGAGTTAGACTGAAAGAGAAACAAACTGCCAAGAAGTACGGACCTTGGATGAGGACCAGCACTTCCTCCGGACACCTGCCTGTGACACAGTGGAAGCATCAAGATCAACAGTGAAGACAGGACGTGGATGATTCGAATGACGGTACAAATTGATAGTGCTTGAGAATTATGTGAATTGTGTTTCACGTGGCTTGAATTTAGTCTTCAAAAAACCCAATATGGCATATACATGACTATTATATCCATGTTACAAGGCAATTGGGTTTTGTTTATATCTATAAACTTATTCTCATGAGAAAAGTGAGGCATAGAAGCTAAATAACATCTCTAAGGTCAACCGTGCCGGATTTACCTAGCCCAGAGCTTGCATCATGATCCAGTACAGTGTGGT